CTCAAATATTTTACGTTTTTGATACTAAATTAACATCTGAAGTATAATTTTTTATTGTTTTTATATTTTTCAATATATTTATTTTGTTTGTACAAAATAAAAAAATAATTTTTAACGATACAATAGTCTTCGTTAGGCTTAACATCGACGAAAATTCAACGCGAAGCGACACTCAACGGAGAGAAATTTCAACATGGGATAAATTAATATATTTTTTCGTACATGATTCGTTATCCGAACCACCTCAGTCCCCAATTGATTCGGATAAACGACGCTCTACTGTATTTATGCGAGTACTATTTATTGTTGGCAAGAAAAAATTTTGTGGCTCTTTAAAAACTTTGAAATTTTGTAAATTGTAATTTTGGCTCTTCCGACTCAAAAGGTTGCCGACCCCTGGCCTAAGCAATAATGATCGCCAATTCGATTGGCAGTCTAGAGACAATGTAGCCACTGAGTGATCCGACTGCTAAGTGCCACATAGCTTATTAGTGTAGAGTTTTGGTTTGAAATACCATCAGCATAAACAACCGATTACTTTTGATACACGTAAAAAGTACAGTAAGGCACGATGATACGATTATGAGATGTTGCAGCCTTCAAAATATACAAAATACCATTTTTCAACACTTTGACGCACGTCATATACAGTTAACAGTCCGAGGATGAGGCTAGGATGGCCACATGTCCGAGTCCAAGCTAGCAACCTACAGTTCTGGAACCTGGAATTGAATCCAAATGGGTCAAAAAAGTCCCAGGAATTTTTCGAGTGTTCGTCTTTCTGGATGTCAGACCCCGTCCAACACCACCCAGCCTCCCCATTGTGGTCCTGGCCGAATCAATAATGGGCCTGCTAAAATAGGACTTCTCAGATCAAATAAAGCAGAAAGAGTTTTTAAAAACATGAATTCACCAATAGATTAAGATAAAAAGTTAAAATCATTTATTCACAACCTACTTTTCTGTTTGCTAAGTTACGTTTTTTTCGTGCCTATCTTCAAGGTAAAAAGCAAGGGCACCTGTACATTGAATGAAGTGCGTCCTTTTCTCCTTGGGTCCCATGGAGATTTCCTAATCCGAAAGAAGCCACAAACAACAGAAAATTTGTAGCTTCTAGCCGATACTGCGAATATAAAAGAAACTAATAAACCAGGGGTGTCCAACCCGCGGGCAAGTTCCAATGCGGCCCAATAAACGTGTAAACAAAACCGAAAAATGTTTTAATTTTTATTATTATTTATTTTTTTCAACGGCGTAAACTCAAAACAGAAGTTTCACAAAGCCGTAAATCTTTATTCATATTTTATTTTGAATGGAAAGGAAATATTTTCAAATTCTTGGAGATGTGTGAATAAGGAAGGATTACTAAATAAAGCTGGAGTTGTGACTCAAAGGATTATAGACCCAAATTTGGGGAAAGGAGGGAAAGTAGAGAAACGCCAAAAGATAAAAAGTAGTGAGAAAGATTAAATAGATCTTCTGTTATGCAAATATTGATTCTTAATCTTCGAACCTTTCTCACTTCTTTAACTTTTGTCCTTTCTCTTTTTTCGTCGCATTTGGGTCTATAATCCTTTGAGTCACAACTCAAGCTTTATTTATTATTCCTTCCAGCGTTGCAAGATTTGGCTACATTGCACCAAATGTGGCTACTTTTTTTAGTTTGATGTAAAATATATCATTTTGCGCTTTGGTTACTTTTTTGGGCTACATATTATTCATAAATATATTAGTTAAATAAAAATGCACTTTAATGTTTCGTCGCGTAATNTTTTTAAGTACGGAGTACCTAATAATATTTAATACATATTATATAAACTGTATTGACAAAATGTAAGCAAGTTTATATTCATAGCAAATACATAATAATACATAAAAAACTTCAAAATTGTTTTCTTGCGTTTTCTTTTGCAAATCGGTCAATCGCTTTCTTTAGATCAAGTTGACAAACTATTTTTTTTTAATTGCTATATTCAGGAGCGGATCTATATTTTTTGGGGCCTACGACTTACTGAAGTCCAATGGGGACCCATTTTTTGTTAATACATTTTGTTAATTATTATATTATTAATATTGACTATATTTTACTACACGATAAATGCTCATTATTAAATGAAAAAGTATTAAAAATTTATGATAATAATTCAATTTTTGTAGGCTCTTGACACTTGGCGATCCAGGGCTTAAGCTCGATTAGTTTCTATATCCAGGATGCCCCTGGATATAGTTACGACAGTTAAGACGGTGTTGTGACATGCTGCTTCTTAAATAAGCTTTGATTAATTTTAGTTTTGAAAAACTTCTTTGTCGTCGCCCGTAAACTTAAAACAATGAGGCATGCTGCAATAATGTCAGAAAACCTATTTGAGGCTGCGGTAAAAGTAGATCAGCAACTTCGTTTATAAAAGTAATTTATTTTACCTGACTATAAAATCGCATTTTAATAAATCGAAGCAGTTGAGGTCCAAAACTATTCGAATATGCCGATTGTAACAATTCTGATTATTCCAGAATATTTTTATCAGATGTCTCGACAAGATATGCATGCGATAAGCATTTGAAAAGTGTACATAATTGTCGAACGGATTAAAATCTAATAGATAATTGATTAATTATTAAATCCAAAAATTTTTTTCCAATCGTTTTAGAGGTTTTATTTTGCCCTTTCTAACTTGACGACCTCGTGATTCGTGCGCCTGGAGCAGTTTACTCCAACTTCTCCACGGAGATTACTATAATCTAGATATGTTATTCCTTAAATATACTTTTATATTGGACCACAAGTACAGTACATATAATATATACTTGGGGCCCAAAACTCCTTAACTTCTTCCAATGCGGCAAAGAGAAACAAAAAGGTTGGACACTCCTGATATAAAGTAATTGACCGAACTCAAAGGTATAGCCAAGGAAGGAATAGGATAGGGAGAAAGGGGTAAGTAAGGGAAGAGAGGAAGAGAAGGGGTAAATTTGTAGGGGGTGGGGGAGAGAAAGGAGAGGAGGAAATATGTAAATACAAAGTAATCTAGCTAAAGTTTCATACACATTAAACAAATTTTAAAAAATTTAATACATCGCTACAACGCAATGACAGTAAATAATCGCGAGCGAATGCCTCCGAAACGGATGGCTTTGCTAGCGAGATATACAGATGGCAAGCGTGTGTCACGGACACATCTGAATATCGATGTCTGGCTGGGTATATTCGGCGCTTTCTCCTGAGGCGACTGCGCTAAACACCAAACATCTCGCTAGCAAATGCAGAGAAATCTCACCTGTATTAATTCTCGACTTGTGAATCGAATGTTATCAACAATGCAACACTAACAATAGAATTGAACAATTTTATTCATTGTTGCGTTTTATTAAATTAATTAAATTTTTAAAAAATTAATAATTTATATAACTTTTTTATATTTGGATTAAAATTATTTTTAATATCATTTTTAGACTATATTAATATGAAATGAAATTATATTTTACGGTTATATATTATATAAATGAACGAGCTGATTAACCTCGTTTCAAGTGCCTTCTTATGATGGCATTTGTAATGCATTCATTTGTAATATAAATATTGGGTTTAGAAAATTTAGTTTCATCTTACATTTTAAATACATGTAATAATAAATCGAAGATAATCACCATTCGTGAAGTTTGACCGTTCGCAGATCAGAACTTGTCGAGTCGAGAACGGTCGAGTGTTCGAGCGGATTTGGAGGCAGCTACCGCTCTTGGGATCCGGGATTGAATCCGGACGGGTCGACGCCTACAAGAATTTACCGGCGAACTATCTATTTGCATATGTCGACTCTTGTCTCTCACTGTGTTGTGCTGTTACTCACTTTTATTGTCTGACGGAAACGACGATGGACATTTGATAAAGAATGTCTTCTTACAAGTTTGTGCAATTAATGGAGACTAAGAGGATTTTATCATGCTTTTATTGAATGGTTTGGCTGGGTGATTAAGGACGGGGTCTGATGCAGTTTTCTTTACACTATTTGTGGCTTTAAATTTTCAAAATCAGTAATATTTCGCTATGTATGCTCTCACCCCTCTTGCGTTACTTCTGCAATTCTGCGATCGCTGTTCAAAACAATATTTCCATGGAATTCAACTGGATACATAAATCATAAGGCTCTGTAGAGGCAAGCCGTTAAGTAATCGAACGAACCAACGACCGGCTTAACAAAGTTAATTACTCAGCTGTGAGCGACGAATATATTCGACAAGGGCGATCGTGTGGCAGTGGGGAGAGACGAATACTGTATATTCGTCAAATTCTTTTGGAGGTATTGCCAAAAACTAGCCTAAAATTACCGCGTAAAAAATTCACATAAAAAATGAATTATAACAAAGTACATGCTGACATACAATAACGTAGCTACATATTCAGGGCCTTGGAGCGAGTCGAATCGGTGCGCTCCCTTGTTACTCGGAAGAGGTCTTGCGAAATTTATTTTGAACATATAATATAAAAACATATCTAATTATTTCGATTTAAAACCTTACTTAATAACAATTTATTTGAGATTCAAGGCATTTCAACCTTATAGTTCTCGCAAAGGAAAATACACAAGCGAAAAGCGAGAAATGTGGCTGGAGTGAGCGAATTTCTGGTTCTCGCACATATCTGACAGGGTTTGATATTTATCGCGTCTCGCCTCTTCTCGCCACATATTCTCGCTCGATCGCTCCGCAAAGTCATACCCTTAGGGTGCGACTATGCATACGCGAGCGAGCGAATTTTTCGAGAGAGCGAGAATATGTGGCGAGCAGAGGCGAGACGCGATAAATATCAAAACCTGTCAGATATGTGCGGGAACCAGAAATTCGCTCTCGCTAGCGTTATTTCTCGCTTCTCGTTTGTGCATGGTTATCCTTTGCGAAAACTAAATCGCTCGCAACCTCTCGCTCGCTCCAAATTCGCGTCTGCATAGTCACACCCTTACAAGGGATTTTTCGAAATTCCCTGCGGGAGAGAGGGAGAGGATTAAGGCTTATCCTGAAGAACTCTGCTTCTACAGTACTATTTTAGATGCGATATTTTGCGTGTTTGCACGAAAGCGAGCATATTTTTAGACCCATCTAAAAATTTTCTAATCAGTCTCGAAAGAGAAGGACCTAATTCTTGCACCCAGTGAAAACGAGTAAGATCGCCTATAATCTAATGATCTTAATCTTCGCTATCGTTACTTTTTACCAAGCAACGCCGGGCTCATCTGCTAGTACAGTTATAAATATAATAATAAAACAAAATATAATTTTTTAAGTACGGAGTACCTAATAATATTTAATACATATTATATAAACTGTATTGACAAAATGTAAGCAAGTTTATATTCATAGCAAATACATAATAATACATAAAAAACTTCAAAATTGTTTTCTTGCGTTTTCTTTTGCAAATCGGTCAATCGCTTTCTTTAGATCAAGTTGACAAACTATTGTTTTTTTTAATTGCTATATTCAGGGGCGGATCTATATTTTTTGGGGCCTACGACTTACTGAAGTCCAATGGGGACCCATTTTTTGTTAATACATTTTGTTAATTATTATATTATTAATATTGACTATATTTTACTACACGATAAATGCTCATTATTAAATGAAAAAGTATTAAAAATTTATGATAATAATTCAATTTTTGTAGGCTCTTGACACTTGGCGATCCAGGGCTTAAGCTCGATTAGTTTCTATATCCAGGATGCCCCTGGATATAGTTACGACAGTTAAGACGGTGTTGTGACATGCTGCTTCTTAAATAAGCTTTGATTAATTTTAGTTTTGAAAAACTTCTTTGTCGTCGCCCGTAAACTTAAAACAATGAGGCATGCTGCAATAATGTCAGAAAACCTATTTGAGGCTGCGGTAAAAGTAGATCAGCAACTTCGTTTATAAAAGTAATTTATTTTACCTGACTATAAAATCGCATTTTAATAAATCGAAGCAGTTGAGGTCCAAAACTATTCGAATATGCCGATTGTAACAATTCTGATTATTCCAGAATATTTTTATCAGATGTCTCGACAAGATATGCATGCGATAAGCATTTGAAAAGTGTACATAATTGTCGAACGGATTAAAATCTAATAGATAATTGATTAATTATTAAATCCAAAAATTTTTTTCCAATCGTTTTAGAGGTTTTATTTTGTCCTTTCTAACTTGACGACCTCGTGATTCGTGCGCCTGGAGCAGTTTACTCCAACTTCTCCACGGAGGCTACGCCTCTGCCGACACACCTAAACAAACGCACGCACTCAAATGCACGAAAACCAACGTATCTACTAAATTTTCCCGTTTTCATTTTGACAATTTTTGCGTTTAGAGGTCGCAAAACTTGAAAATTTATAAAAACAGGGACGGTCATATTCGGCACGATTCTAATACTTTCCAGTGTTATACAGCCCACAAAACAGGCTGGGAAAACAATAACATTTGAAAAACGTTTATAAAGCAATTAATTAGTCTCGAAAATGGTCACATCTGGAAAATATATAGTAATAATTATAAACGCATACAAAATATTCATTATCGTACACTTTAATATCAGCTGTTTGGACCGAAATTCTATTGTATGCAGTTATCGTCATTGTCATTTGAGAAAAAGAATGCAAATGCATACAAATTTGGCTTTTACAAACATTACAATAAAATACAGTGGTACCTCGGTATACGTCTGCTTTAGAATACGTTCAATTCGGAATACGTCCTGTTTGGACGAAACAAATTTTGCTCGGTATACGACTTTTGTTCGGTATACAACTTAATTCAATTATACGCGCCATCTATGAACAAGTAGCACCATCGGTGTATTATACCAGACTAGACGTTCGCAGTGCCACAGTTTATAACTTTGTTAAATTTCTTTTTATTTTAATTTGTAAGTAAAATGTTATTATTTTTATTAATCATGAATTGCAAAAAGGCATCAGAAAAATA